TAATTCTTTTATGTTTTGTAGAGACAGGGTCTCACTGTGTTGTCCAGGCTAGTCTCAAACTCCTGGCCTTAAGCAATCCTCCTGTCCTGGCCTGTTACAGCCTTTTTTTGAAGGTAATCTGGTAACAGCTCTTGAAGTATCGTGACTGATGAGTACACAAGCCATCCAGCCCCAGCAACCCCCTGGCACCTTTTCTGAGGGTGTCTACTGCCCCGCTGTGCCGTGCCTGCTGATCCGGGTGTGGCCTGATCGCACGATGGCCTTCCCGGAAGGATCTGATGCTCGTGAGGGTTATTGCTAAGGAGGAAGATGCAACCGATCCAGCTGTTCCAAGTGACCGGGTCACACCTCGCATGGGTGTGGAGTGTCGCCTGCCACCTGCCTGGACGCACTCTTGTGGCTACTCAGGAACAGCACGGGAGGAGGCCCCCGCCTGCCCCGGCGACCTGCCTGCCCTGCTCTAGCCGGTCCCACTCTCAAGTGCAGACGCCCAGGCCTGCACATCCACGCTCACGACACAACCCCAAGGAGCCCCCCAGGCGGCCCCGTGGCCGGACGTGCACCCCGCAGAGCGACCACCCTTGAGACCTGGGGTGTGGTCTGGGGGCTGTGTGGGGACCTCCTGCCGGGATGCGGGAGCTTCTAAGGGCAAGAATCACAGGTGTGACTCCTGTCTGTAAGGTAAAACCCCCGTGAGCAGGAATAAATACGGAGACACAATCGCAGTGGTGGAGGGAGCTGTGGCAGTCACACCTCTGCTGTTAGCATTGCCTCTGTGGGGGCAGGAGAGAGCAGACATACAACCTGACCCTGAAAGGGGCAACACGGCCCCGGTGGCTCCCTGCCCCTGTCCTGGTGCCTGCCCACAGGCGGGTCAGCTCCCCTTCCGCTGTGGAATCTCCTATGTCTCTGTGTGCTCTGTCACCCCTGCTTTCCGGCCTGAGGGCTGGGAAGGGAGGTCTGGGGAGCCCGGGAGCCGAGAAGTACCCGAAAACCACCCCCAACGCCCCCCAACCCTCAGGTGCGCCTGCGAAGTGTGTCTGTGTGTGTCTCACTCTAACTCACCCAGACAACTGACTTGAGTAGCCAACCTTGGTCATTCCCAGAACCACCACTGGGGGGCATACGTGCGGCTAGACCGGGGGTGCCCCAAAATCTGTCTCTACAAAAAAATTTAAAAAAAGTAATGGGGCATGGTGGTGGTGTGGGCCTGTGGTGTCAGCTACTTGGGACGCTGAGGCAGGAGGATCGCTTGAGCCTGAGAATTCAAGGCTACAGTGAGTTAAGATTATGCCACTGCACTCCATCCTGGGTGACAGAGCAAGACCTTGTCTCAAGAAAAAAATTTTCAATGAGTAAAATTTTAAAAAACAACTTTGGTCAGTCTTTCTATCATTTGAATGTCTTCTCAACCCCGGTGTCTGCTGATGGCCTCTTCCCTGCTGGGCAGGATTCTCACAGTTCTTTGGGTGTGGAGAAATGAAATTCTGGTTTATTTTTTTTTTCTTTTTCTTTTTCTTTTTTTTTTTTGAGACAGAGTCTCTTTCTGTTGCCCAGGCTGGAGTGCAGTGGCACAATCTCATCTGACTGCAACCTCCACCTCCCAGGTTCAAGTAATTCTGCTGCTTCAGCCTCCCAAGTAGCTGGGATTACAGACGCCCGCCACCACGCTTGGCTAATTTTTCGTATTTTTAGTAGAGACGGGGGTTTCAC